CAATACTCACATACACATAAAATTAAAAAATGAGAATAATACAATTTAAAAAAATCTTTTGGTAACTTTTTCATCTTTCTTCAGTGTCTTAAAGTTTATTATTAGAAGTCATTCAATTCCTTGTTTAGATTTATTCCAAAATATTTTATGGTTTTTTAGGCTATCAGAAATATGATCATTTCCCTGATTTCTTTCCTGGTATATTTGTTGTTGCTATTGGAAGGTTATTTAATTTTGTTTTAATTTTATATCTTGCTATTTTGTTGAATGTATTTATCAGCTCTAGGCATTTTCTGGTAGAGTCTTTAGGGTCTTTTATGTATAGAATCAAATCATCAGCAAATAAGGGTATTTTGACTTCCTTTTCAATTTGTATCCAAGTTATCTTCTTCATTAGTCTTATGCTCTAAGACTTCAAGTATTATATTGAACAAGAATGGAGAGCATGAATAGCCTAGACATGTTCCTAAATATAAAGGGAATGATTTGAGTTTTTCTACATTGAGTATGATACTGGCTGTGAGCTTGCTGTATATTGTCTTTATTGTGTTAATATAAGTTCTCTGTATCACTAGATTGTCCATGACTATATTATGAATGGATATTGGATTTTTCCAAAGGTCTTTTGTGCATCTGACAGATAGTCATGTGGTTTCAGTCGAGTCTGTTGATGTCGTGAATTATATTTATTGATTTATGTTTGGTGAACCATCCCCAGATGAAGCCTACTTGATCACGGTGAGTAATCTTCTTGATGTATTCTTGCATTCCACTTGTATTAACTGAGAATTTTTGCATCTATGTTCATAAGAGAAATTGCTCTATAATTTTCTTTTTATTGGGTATGTGAATGGTTTTGGAATTAGACTAAATCTGACTTTATGGAAAGAATTTGGGAGTGTTTCTTCCTTTTCTATTTTATGGACTCTTAATTTCATGGTTATGATAATTGCATTCTGATATACTGAATCTGGACAAAATTTACCAAAGAGTGATGATGAATATATTTTTTGAGATATGTTCTCCCACTAAACCTTGGGCTTCCTGTTTTGACTAAACCGGCAGGCCAGCAAGTCTTCTGGATTCATCTGTCTCCATCTTTCCAATTTAGGTTATAGACATGCAACAATAAACCTAGATTCTATTTTTATCGTGTGAGTTAATGGGACTCCAGTACTTTTGCTTGGGCAGAAAGCCTTTTCCCTATTGAGCCATCTCACCAGCCCCAGACAAGGGACACCAGTCTGTTTAAGCCTGAGAATCATATTACTGCTACATACTAATTTCATTCCCAAATTATAATCCCACCTTGTACTGTCATCATAATCTTTGATTTCTTGATCTAACAATATTTTCCACACTTCTCAGTCATTTTTGTCCGGAATCATTTTTTATATCATTGGCTTCCCAATCCTGCCTGTAGAAAGAACATCTACAGTTTAAAAAAAATAAGCCTTTCAAATGATATTCACGTGGCCCCTAAAATCAGCAAGACTTCCCTCTTCATTGTTTGCATCATGCCATCCATAAAACTGAGGCACTGAAAGTTTCCTTTTTTTACGATGCTAGGAGTTATTAGGAATTTAATAAAATTATATGGAAATACCTATCAAAGTCTCCTTTACATATGACTCTTCTAAATACAATCCATTTAATTATGCCTTACATCTTATTACATTATGATAGCTCATTTTAAAATGCTCAGACACCTTTAGTCATTCCACACAGTTGTGACCACAGCAGTGAAAAATAAGCAACATGTCCTGCTAATGTGTAACAGGAAATCCCAGTATGTGAAAATTTCAAAATGAGTACAGCATCAAATGAACATAATTTGTGGAACTAATTTGTTATTTAGTAATATAACTTTAGGATTTCTATTGCTGTGTGTCAAGAGCATACTATGTCAAATAGAGAAACATGTGTGTCTTTCTACTATATCAGAATTGAGCATCGATAAAAGTATGTTACAGAAGTTTCATTTTCAGAAATTTGTCATGTAGCCCTTCTTTCCTTGGAAGCCCTGGCCTAGACAAACATCTTTTATTACAATCTTAATTAGCAATTCTAGATGTTACATTACACACCATACAGTAAATATATCTGTGTGTATATATGTAAGTTAAAGAATAGATTTTAAAAGTGCTTAAATTTGCCACAGCAGACTTCAAGTGATTTCAGTAATTTAAGAGTCCAAATGTGGAGAACTGATAAGGATGCAAAAGAGTTTTTGTATCGATAAGACAACAAGCCCAGGTAGGAGAGTTCCTGGAGATACTGCTAGAGAATCAGGCTGTTGAAGGTTAATAGGTTTGAGGAGAAGAGCAGAGTTGAGTTCAATTTCTGAGGATAGGTGTAGGGCTATGGTGGCTATAGGCATAAAGGGCAAGAACAGAAATGAAGAGACAGGTGCATGGCAGGTCCAAATGCATGGACAAAAGTGTGGGCCAGACTAAAATTTGATTTTTTTTATGAGAGGTTCTCCTGTAGCCCCTGCAAGCCTGGTACTCTCTATGTATACCAGGCTGGCCTTGATGCCACAGCTATCTATCATCCTGTCTCTGTCTCCTGAGTGCTAGGATGAAAGGTGTGCACCACCATGCTCAGGCAGACTACAATTTGAATAAATTGTATCAGCAATGAGTATCAGGACAAACTGAAGTCCTTGGGATAATCAGGAGCTCTCTGCATGTTGGTGCCTTGATGCATTCACTAGGTGGTCAGATGAGAGGTCAGTGGGGCTGGTGATAGTTCCATTGTAGTGTTAGACATCCATATCTTTATTGGATCCAAGTAAAGGAATTGTGCTCTTTCCTTTGTATGGTATATCAAATAAGTTCTTGAGCCTGGTTTCCTGATAAGATTTTAATACACTCATGTACCTGTACAGTCCCAACATGCTCTGATAAATTTATATATTTATAACCTTTCTAGTCCCAATAATAATTCATTCTTTCAGTCTGTGCCAAAGGTGTACCTGATAGATGGCATGGTTCACATATCTACCAAAGCACAGAGTTATCTTCCATCCTCAAAAGGAATCAAAAGTTGCTTATTAGATGGACCCTCTCAGGACAAGTCACAGTAAAAAAAAAAAAAAAAACTATTATTTTATACAATATGGAGTAACATAGGCAGAGCACAGCCTGATCTAAGAACTGTGGCTCATACCTATACGTTCAGCACGTGGGAGGCTAAGGCAGGAGAATTTTGTGAATTTGAGGTCAACCTGGGCTATTTTTTCCCCTCATGTCAAACTGCTTTATTACATCTTAAATAACAGTACAGCTTAATATGGTTTCTACCTTGCATCCAGCCCCCTTGCAGTACCCAGACTTCAAAATTAAATACAAAAGGTGAGAAGGGCACAGGTGCAGAGCTCTACAGAGTCATTTGGTGGAGAGAGAAGAAGGGGCTTCACTGTGTTCTCTTTGCCAGGTCCAGGCCTACTGCACAGTCAACAGCACAGTTTTGTACAGGACACTGCTGAAAACAGGATGGCGAAGCTGCTACTGCTGCCTGAAGGGTGCAGGTTACAGGGATAGGAGGTGGAAGGTGAGGGTCACAGGGTGCAGGATATGGGGTTGGGGGCCCATAGAACACTGCTGTCCAAATGCTGCTGCTGAAGACGGCTTGAGATGAAAACCACAAAGATCTGCATGGTGTAAAAAGGATCTGCCTCAGACGCAAAAGGCTGTTCATGGAGGCAGGTATCTAGAAAGTGGCAAAGAGGCAGCAGGCGGCTCCCCTAACCGGACTCTAACAGCGATCATTCCCAACAGGACTGTTTTATTTGTCTTTAAAGTAAAGTAAACTGACGTATCCTACTACTCAAGCGTGTAGAGTGCTTGCTGCTTCCGATATACATGCAGAGTAGCAACAGTAATGGACAGAGCCGCCACAGTTACAACTTTAAGGTTATTTTTTAAAAGAAAAAGAACATCTAAGGACTGAGTCTTATGTGCACTTTAGAGCATTTCTACAGCATGTGATTTTAAGAGTAAACCCACCCAATAGGGCAAACAATCAAACTGTTTAAAATTTAACTTAAAAAGTTTGAGATCATTATTTCCAAACATTGATTTGTACATTGTTTCATACACAAATAACCAACTGACTATCCACGCACAGGACAAGCATCTCTCTGGAAAACAAGCCCCTGACAGCAGGGGTGGATGGCTAGTGTCACATGACTACAAACTTTCCTTCAGCTTCACAGGAAACCCAAGGTAAGAGCAGAAACTAGGTGGTTGTAGGACATGTCAGAAGGGATGGATGCCAGGTGTGAGTTCACTGCTCAGCAAAGGGGAAGGACTCTAACCAAGCACTGGTGGCCACCACAACATGTACTTGACTACTTTATTTCTGAATTTTTCTCTTCTATGCCATGTTTGTGCACAACAGTCATCTGTGACATGAAACAAAAATAAAGAGCCAGGGACAGAACTGAGTCACTGACAGGTCAGACTGCCATTTGCTCTGGTTCTGTTAACTACTGAACATAAAGGAATATATATAAGAAGGAAATGTGAGAATGTTTCCAAAATCCTGCTATCAATGACTTGATATTTAGAAACAATTACAAGATAACAAAGTCCCCAACTTGTTTTGCATGAATGCCACAAAACAAGATCACTGATCTAAATTGGAGTGAACTGGTGAGGAGGCATGTCTGTCTCAGTCACACTCAGGTTACCTTCTGGTTAACATTTTTTATTGTGGTATTTCCTTTTAAGATTCACCCAAGACAAAAAAGAAAACAAATGGCCCCGGGAGGAATGCACAGTCTGCTTATTTACAGCACAGAGCCTTCTCTTAGTGGGAATTGTGCTCTTGGTTTCAGCAATAAGTGAATTTAAAAAAAAGAGCTTGCCCTTTAGAAGTTCTGAGGGGAGGGGTGGGTGTCCACTTTAGTAAGGTTGGCTAGGCTATGCTATCCCTGTAATGCTTTAAGGTTGGAATGGTCTTCCAGGCACCATGGCATCCACCTGCTACTGGCCTTAGTTCCAGATCTTGAGGAAGCTGTCCCAGGATCCTGTTGCCACAACCATGCCATCATCAGTCACCCCCAAGCAGCTGAGCAGTTGTTGTGTCCAGCTAAGACATCTGCCCGGTCAGCTTTGAGTGCATCCCAGAAGTTGCAGTTGAAGTTGTGGTACCCAGTGAGGAGGAGGCATCCACTCTTGGAGAAGGAGACAGAGGTGATCCTGCAGATTATGTTGTCATGGGAGTAAGTCATGAGCTCCTGGTCTGCACGGAGATCAAACAGCCTGCAGGTGGCATCATCTGAGCCAGTGGCAAAGGCATTGTTTTTGGGAAAGAAACAGATGCCATTGATGTCAGACTCGTGGCCTGTGAAGGTCTGCCGGCACATCCCTTTTGGGACATCCCAGAGCTTGGCTGAAGCATCACAAGCACCAGAAACAAACAGTCTGGTGTTGGGAGCCAGAGACAGACTCATGACATCTCCAGTGTGTCCAGTAAACGGTGGTTGTCTGCTGGCCCGTTTCAATGCCCCACAGGCACACGTGGTGTCTGCAGAGCTGGTGACGATCTGATTGTCATCCAGGAACTGGAAGCAGGATAGATAACCTGTATGTCCTGCTAGCTCATGACTCACATGCACATTCCCTTCACCAGTTTTCAGACTGTAAGTGGAACAGATATTATCCAGGCCATCACAGGCCAAGTAATTCCCAGAAGGAGCGTATTCACAGGTCATGACCCAGAAGGAGTACAGAGGGATGGAATGAACCTTGTTTGTGGTGTAGCTGTCCCAGATGATGAGTTTCCCATCCTGAGAAGCACTGACAAGGAGCCTGGAGTCTGTGCCCCAGTGCATGGCATAAATCTTGGCCAGGTGCCCCCTCAGCGTTCACCTGGTGCACATCTGGATTCTTCCTACTGGGTCAATGTTGTATGTAATCTGAGAGAGAGAGTTGCCTCTGCACATGCTTTTCGAGCATCTCTAATTTGGTTCTTCAGTTGCTCGGCCTCCTGTCGCAGCTGGTCAAGCTCACTCATCTTTAGGTCTCAGTGCTTTCCACACTCCTCAGAACCCACAATCTTAATTTGGGTGTCTCTGGCCTTGTTGTCCACACTTGAAAGTCTATCTCGCCATCAACCAGCCTGGCGCCCAAACTGGGCCCATGGGCAGGAGCCTACGAGACTGGTCTGGTCACGCGCGGCTGCTCCAGTCCAGGCTTGCTGCCCTCGCGGTCGGCGCCAGCAACCGCTGCCCGCTCCAACCTGGACTATTTAATGAATTTCAAGCAAGCCTGAGCTAGCTATAGAGTGAAATTCTGTCTCAAAAGAAACCAACCAAAGACATTCTTTATTGTCCTCTTTATGAAGCTCCCTCATGCAGCAGAAGTCCAGGAAAACAAAAGTTCACAAATGGCCAAAGGGTAGCGATCAAGAGTCTGCTGAATGTTGGTCCTTTGACAGACTCCTTTATTAAACTTCACACACCCAAGGCTCAGGAACCATCATGGCAGAGGGGGCAGAAAGTTGGAAGAGTCAGGGAGGAAGTGCATGACCGTATGGAAACAGAGTTCTACAAACTCCTGGAAACCTGCTCATATGATTCTATGGCAATGGTGTCAGCATGCACAGGTCCCCTGCAAACTCAGGCAGCCAAAAACCCAGCATAGAACTGGGAAAATGAACAGCAGACCCCAGTCTTATATGAAGAAATATTGGCAACTGATTGCTGCTAGATGAGGAACAGCTTATCTTCTTAAAATAAGGGGCTTTAGATGGGCTGGCTAGACCTCAGTGGTGGACTTGCACTGAGAAACGGCTGGGGACACTGAAAACAGAGTGGGCCTTAACAGGGTTGATAGTGTATATGGGCTACAGTGGCGGCAGAATATGGGAAGGTAATAGTGGGGATGGGGGTATAAAGATGATTGTTTGAGCTGTTCTGTATGAAAAACACACACACACATACAAAAATAATTTCTAAAACCCAAAAAACAAATAAAAAACAAAATACCTATTGCCATCAAATACTGAACATTACAGCATAAATTTATTACATTATTTCATTTAAAATAGCATTGAAATAAAGATATACTTATTTCTGACATTTTTCTTAGCACAAATTCTGATAATGTGATATGGGAAAGGGGAAATATTTATTTTTAAAGTTCACTATTATATATTGTCAAAATTTTGTTATAAAAGTTTAAACAGATTTGCATTCTTACCAACAATATAAAAGATTGCCTACTACAGAACAAAAATAAACTATGCAGTCATAGTGATCTACAACAATGATTATTATTATACAGAGTACTGAACCTTAGGCCTTAGGATTGACAGGCAAATGGTCTAACACTGAGCTTTATCTTCATATCTTCTCTTCTTTTCTTTTTTCCTTTTTTTTTTTACCTTTTCTGAGACAAGTCTCAAAACAAAGCTCAGTCTGGCATTGAATCCATGACCCTTCTGCCTCAACCTCCCTGAGTGCTATGCTGCCTGCTTTAGTACTATTTTTATTGCAATTGTAAGTGTACAGATCCAAGCAACATCAAAAACAATAATTTAACTGATATTATAGATTTTTTTGTTTCTTAAAATCAAAATAGTTTAAATGTTCATTTTGTATTTGTTTCTATTTTATATACCATTCTATCTTTTTATTGTTTTTTTCTTCTTGAAATGTCTTATTATTTTCCTAATTTACTTTTAAGTGATGTAGATATAGAATGAGATGGAAAATTTTAAAATATTAACATATTCAATATATTTAGCATGAGAAAATGTAACCATTAGTTTACTATACTCAGAATAAATAGCTCTCCAAGTTTATTATTTCCATTTAAACTTGGATGAATGGGTTCAGCAAGACGGCTCTGTGCTTAAGGGCTCTTGCTGCCAAGACTGACAACCTGAGTTTGATCCCAGGGACTCACATGTAAGAAGGATAGGCCCGACTCCAGAAGTTGTTCTCGGACCTCTACATATACTACATAGCACCTGTGCACCTACACACATGCAAGCACACACACACACACACACACACACACACACTAATTAATTAATTAATTAATTAAAATCAAGTTGAACTGTCCTGCCAGCCTTGGTCCCAGGTGTGCTCCAATTCTTACCTCACATCTGGGTTGTGACTAGCTTCCTAACCCAGACTAGATAAAAACCCTACCATAGAACCCTGAATCCCTCCCCAGGTGGTCCCCTCACTGACAGCCTCCCAGCCTCTGGATCAGGGGGACAGACCTGCTCAGCTGGGACTCTGGTAAGTCTGATTCTGCCCACCACATCTCTACTCCATTCTTCTCATCCACCCCACCCTGTCCCCTGCCAGCCTTGGAATCAGGTGGGCTCCAATACCTTCACCTCAGATCCCTGGACTAGCTTCGTAACCCATACTAGTTAAACTCCCTAGCAGAGACTCCACTGGCTTCTGATCTGTCTGACACAACCCAGCCCTCCTACAAACTTGACCAGCTTACCTGCTCCCACTACCCTTTTCCACCATCCACCCAGACCAGTCTGCTACCCTGAAAGAACCTGAAACCCCCACCAATTTTTTTTCCATACCTGAACATCAAGTAACCAAACTACATAAACAATATTAACAAAACCAAAATTAACTTGAACAAAAGCAGAATAGAAGTTCCTGTTGGATGCATAACCAACAAAGAATATCCATATGCCAAAACAGCAATACAAAAACACAAAGAATATGAAAAGCCAAGAGAACTGTTGGAGATTGATTGCTACTGGGTGAGGGAGAGTATGCCTTACATAAGCTTTCTACATGGGCTGACTAGACTCCAGTGGATGAATTTACACTGAAGGACACATGGGTACAAATGCTTGACTGGATAGGACTTAACATGCATGGTGAAATACATGACATCCGGTGGTGGGATGGGGGAGGTATGGCTGGGGGAAGGGGTCTAAATTTGATTAAGAATTGTTGCATGAAATTACAAAAGCTCAATAAAATATATTTTAAAAATTATAAAAATACAAAAAAAACTTGAATTGTGGATTGTTGAGTACATAAATTTTTTATAGTATAGCTTTTATGTCTTTTATGGCTTATTTCTTTAATTTATACTTACATATTATATTACATATCAATATGAAATTGATATTTATGAATTCATATAAAATACAAAATATGCTTAAGTACTTATAAATATTTTAACAATTCCCAACACTATTCAAGATAAGCAGCATTTTCTCTATTGAATTAATATTACACTAGCCTACAAATTAACCTTGATAAGTGTGTGGATGTTTTTATTTCATGAGTTATTCCTTCTGTATTCAGGTAATTAGTGCTATATTTGAATTATGTTTTCAATATTCTTTAAATATTTCATAGTGCAAGTCTATACAGAGTAACAGTTGAAACTTTTGATAAATATGTGTTCCTTTACTGAAATATTTGGGCATATTTTGAAAAGATAAAATAGTCTTCTATATTTTATATAATTGTGCTAATTTAGAACAATGACACATGTGTAGAATACCCCTAACCTTAAACTCACTCATCGCCCTCATATGCCTTAGCTTGGTGGAAGGAAAGAAACTACTCTCACAATCTTTCCTCTGAGTTCCACAAGAGCACTACGGCATCCGTGGCTACACAGACAGAGAGACAGACAGACAGACAGACACACACACACACACACACACACACACTCACACACACACACTCCATAAATAAATAATAAATGTAACCAAAATCTAAAAATAAATATAAATATTTATGTGATAATTATGTTACTTCAATAAACAGTCACATGCAGCTCTCATGCTAAACTTTCCCACATACTTGGAGTAAATTTCAGTTTAAGAAAACTAATTTTAATAAGGGCTTTACAAGTTAGATTTATTGATGTTTAATTAACAAATACATGTTTCCATATAATTATTACCGAAATTAAAATATGATAGTTTTTCATCACATGTAATAGTTCTGTGTTATGCATTGGACTCGATTACCATCTTCCTTTCTCTTGCAAGTACTGAAAGCATTTTCCAGACTATATGATATGTATCTTGTTCAGTCTGATATCATTCATTTAGTTTCATGAAACTTGGAATCATTTTTCCTGTTCATGGAAACTCTAAGACAGAATTAACTTAATAAAGATCTGATAATTTGTTTTTACATCAAATAACTGATGGGAATTTGTGTTATTTCCTGATCTGCACAGCATAAATTTAGCAAATACAAGACTTTTGATAGAAACTTTGTATGAACTTTTGCTTCCATTTTTCTTAGATATATATTTTAAAGTAAGATTGCTTAATCATATCACAAGTGAAAATTTTACCTGTGATTTTCAAATTTCCAAACTCGCTGAAATATTTTCTTTTTCCCACCTTAAAGGATAAACATTGCAGTTGCATCACAACTTCTCATGACTTTGCTATGTCAATCTTTTATTTTAAAATAAAATTTTACCATTCTAACCCCTGTATAGATATCTCATTTTTATTATTTTAATAATATATAATTCACATTTTATTTCATTCCTTAATCTCAGTGTATAATTCAAAGGATTTTATTTGTTTAAAGACATGTAAAACAACAGTCAGTTAATTATAGAATATTTTAATTAGTTAAAAAAATTCCCATACTTTTTGCCTCACAATTGCTTATCCACTCATCCTCACTCTTGGGGTTAATGATTGATAATCTACTTTCTGCTAGTATAGTTTGATTATACTTTTACTTGATCTTTTATGACTGATTTCTTTCATCTACAATTTTTTTAAAATACTATATTATTTATTTATTTTATGTGTATGAGTTTGTTGCCTCCATGTTTGTAAGTACTTCCATGTGGGTTCTGGGAACTGAACCCAGGTCCTCTGCAAGAGCAGTCAGTGTGCTTAACTGCTGAGCCATCTTTTCAGCCTCTCATCTATAATTTTTTTAAGTTTAGCAATTTTATAGCATGTATCCCTATTTCATTCCTTTTTATGGTCAAATACTATTCAATTACATAAATACTATATTTTTATGTTCATTTGTCAAGTCATGAGCATTAGGACTATTCATGTATTTGGCTATTAAGACTGTTCCTGTGAATATTTTACACA